CAGGGGCTGCTCCTATAAAGGCTATTGCCTGATTAGTAGTTGCATTACAATGGCACTTCAGGCCCCCGTTGTGGCTCGGCGCCCCATTAGAGCAGCCCCTGTGCAAACAGGGAGGAAAGAGGTGGGCTCCAACCCAAGGAGGGAACAGCCGAGGTCTTTACAGCCCCCAGGGCACCCCAGGATCGATTATTTCTGTTCCAGTAGCACTCAGGGCATGTCTGTGCCCACATGGATGTGGGTGGCTGTGATGCCTGGGGCCCATTCCTGGGAATTTTGGGATCTGTGGATGGTGGGTGACACCGGGCTTGTAGCTTGACCTGGGAGTGGCCACGTGGTGATGATCCACTCCTGCTCCAGAGGGGTTAATGCTGCAGTGGAGGGGGTTTTGCCTTCCCCTAAGGAGGGCAGATGGCTGGGGGAGCAGGAGGGATCTGTGGGAACCTCTTCCTCCCCTCCCTCCCTTGTCACCGTGATCTGGGTGCAGTGGGTGCCCAGCACCCCTTGCTCTGGTCACATCCAGCCCTGCTGGGGGTGGCAGAGGGACAGCAGTGGCTCTGTGTCCTGCAGTTTTTGTGCATCCCTGGCACCTGCTTCCCAAGAGAGGGTCTGCTCCCATTCCATCTGCACCCACATCCTCAGCCAGCCAGAAAGGCAGGAGGTTGTGCTAGAGATGCTTAAGGTGTTTCTTTTTGGGTTTTTTTTGTGTCCTCCCTGATTCCTTGGACCCGTTTGCGCCCTGTGTCTCTAAGTTCTCTTTCCCCACCTTTTCCATCTTTACAGCATCAAATCCAAGCATCTTAGCCGAATTTTTCTGGTGTCAGCAGAGAAAGGGGGCTCGTGTTTGCCCTCCCTTCCTGACCCCTCTCCTGGGAGGCAGCAGTTCCCTGCTGGGAGCTGAGTGTGGTCCTGAGGGAGGCAAACACCAGACGCAGGGGGGAAACTCGCTGCTTTCACTTTTACCTACAAATCTCCATCTCGCTGAACCACTCGATTCCTGGAACTGGGCCCTGAAAAGGGCAAAGAGAAACCCCAGCAACACCTTGGCCGTGCCGATCCGCGGCTGGTCCGTCTCCCAAACGCCGCAGCTGGGCAGGAGCCGCGGCCGATCCCGGGATCCCGGCACGGCACAGCTGGCTGCGAGCTGCTTGCCTCCCCTCTCGGAGAAAGCCCTGGCTTTCAGGCGATGTCAACACCAACAGCTGGCTGGGGAAACGCAAACTGCGGCTCGGTTTGGGAGCAGCTGCCGCCGCTGCGGGCGGCCGGACCGGCACACCGGGGCACCACCGGGGCATCACCGGGGGAGCCGGGGCTGTGCCCTGGGGCTGCTTTCAAACTGTCTCCCCGTTTTCTTTTTTTTTTAATTATTTTAAATAGCTTATTTTTCTCTCAAATAGCTTATTTTTCCTCTGCGCCGACTCAAAAACCGAACCCCTCACTAAGGCAAAGCGCGGCGGCGCAGGAGGACGAGCAGCCCGGCGCGGGGCTCAGCCGCTCCCTGCTCACCTCTCCCCACCCCTGAGGCTCTTTGCAGGTTCCTGGGGGGCTCCCCCTGTGCCCCCCACCCCGCCGGGCAGCTTTGCGACCGCCCCGGTGCGCATCTGTCCCCGCGCCCGCCCTTATCTGCCGCGGCTCAAACCTGCCCTGCAGCATTGTGCGAGTTCCCTTCGGTTCATTTATTATTTCTCTCCCCACCCCTCCTGCTCTGCTTTCTAGCACGCGGCGCCCTGAAGCTGCGCGGCTTTTCCAGCGTTTTTCTCCCTCTGCGTGTCCCTTTATCCACTCCCCACCCCGTGCAGGGCGCAGCCCCCCGGAGCGGTGGGTGGGCAGGGAGTTTGGAGCTGCGCAGGGACCCGCGTCCAGCTTTGGCTTTCCCGAGTGGAGGCCAAGAGCATTAAAGCCCACACCATGAGTAAACAGTGCAGAAATTACAGGTCCAGGGCTGGGTCATGAGCTTTGCTCTTTTGGTTTCTTGCGAGGAAGATATCCCCGGGATGCTTCCGGCGGGAAGGTGGAGCTCATGGAATGGGAGAGAGAGAGGGGGGAGCCAAGCAGGGCTGTGTCGGGACAGCAAAGCCACCGCACCCCCCGGGAGCAGCTGGGGCTGTGCTGTGCTGCCTGCTCAGGGTCTGGCAGGGATCCCAGCTGGATCCCACGCAGACATCCCTGCTGGACCTGCCCCGCTCCCACCCTCCGGCTCTCGCTGCACCCAGGGCAAACAGGGGGAGGGATGTGAAGGGTCCCTGCTGACCCAGACTCCTGGAGAGGCAGGCGATGGCTATCGTAATTTTGGGATGTTTTCCAGCGTGTTGCCGGGTAACGGCCCATCCCACCCACGCGAGCATCGGAAAGGCACCGTCTGGTTTCTGGGATTGTTTCGGCAGTGCCGCGCTGGCCGCGGCTCTCCCCGAGGCTCCCGGCTGCTTCCTCGACACAACTCCGGGAGCTGTGTTTGTTCTTTTATCCAAAGAAGCGGCAAAGCCAAAACTCGCAGCGGGCAAAGTCCGAATGGGGGGGGGGGCAGGGGAAACCCGCCGTGTGCTGCGGGGAAACGTCCGGGAACGGAGCGTTCCCAGCCCGCGGTGGCCCCGATGGCACAGGTGGAGTGCCACTGACCCCAGCTAACGCTCGGGGTAAACGAATCCCTGGCAGGGAACCGGCTGAAGTGTGAAAACATCTCACCCCGCTGGGGAGGCTCGGTGTGGTGGGGCCGCAGCGAGCCGTGTCCCAGGCTCCGGATCAGGGCTCACTGCTGGGATCGGGATGGCTTTTCAGCCAGGGAAAGAGTCCAGAGAGGATAAACTGCTGGCAAAGTGGTGTTTGCTCGGTCTGGGGTGCTGAGGCTGTGTGCTGTGCCTCGAGGTGCCACCCCAGTCTGGCTCTGGGGCTGCCCTGTGCCAGCTGCTGCTCCCCGTGGAGTCTGGGACAGGCTGGGACATTTCTGCAGGAGTTTTCACGTGTGAAAACTGTGGCCTTGGAGGGACAGTCGGGGAGGGGACCTGCAGGGACTGGTGTCACCAGTGAGCTCTGCAGTGACAGCAGCAGTGGGGTGAGGTGGCAAAGCCATGGGCTGGGGCCTGCCTGGAGCACCCTGAGCTGCCCAGTGTGGGGGGGTAGAGACGTTGCAGGATTGGATTAGTGATTTATTTGGGATGGATTTGATAGCAAAAGCAATGTCTGGCTGAGCTGGGGGGTCTTTTCTTCCTGGAGTGTCTGTGCTGTGTCTCTGGAGGACCGTGGCCCAGGGATGAGCAGTGACAGTGATCCTCGAGGATGGTGCACGTCCTGCTTGGCTCTTCAGGAGATTTTGGCTTTTTGATCAGTCTGGGCTGATGGGGTTGTGTTTGGCAGGATTGGAGGATTGCAGCAGTTTTGTAAGAATGACCTGAAAGCCTTTCCCCCCATCTGGTGCTCAGCATCCCCCCCAGCCAGGCAGCTCAGAGCAGACAGGGAGAGGGATCAGAGCCAGTGGGGCTCGGGGACAGCTGGAGCCCCTGAACTGTCCACTGTGGTTTTATTCATCTCCAGCTCCCGTTTATTCCCTGGCTCTGGTTTCCCCGGGATGCTGCACTCAGGGCCTGCCCCAATAAAAGAGGGGGGACACCTCAAACCCCATCAATGAACCCAAAACCATCCTGGGGCTCCAGCTTGGTCCCAGTGCTCCTTGGAGGCTGATAATGAATCAGACACCTGGGGCATGGTTTAATTTTTAATACAATGTATATTTATTGCAAACAATAATATACAAAAAAAAAAAAAGGTAAGTTTCACAGAGAGAAGGATCTTGCAAACAAACCAAACCAAACTTACCTAAAGACAAAATATGATTTAAATGACAGGTCTTTTAAGTTACAGAAATACTTTAAAAAGATCTGCTTTTATACAGAAATAGAAAGATGCCATATTATAAGAGTGCTTTAAGATTTTTTTTTCTTCTACTGAATCCCTAAAAAAAAAAAAAATTGTTAACAAATATATCATTTTTTTTAAATAAAAAAAGTTTGCTGTCTTTTTTAAAAAGCAATCCTTAACTGTTCAGCCACAGCTTCACCAAAGTCAGTGTCCCCCCAGCTCTGAAGGCAGTTTTGGGGGGGGTGGAAGGCTCGTCCTCGCACGAGCTCTTGTGTCCCAGAGAGCTGAGGCAGAAAACAAGGCAAATGATTCAGTGATACGCTACATTTGCAATCTTTAGTTTGTACAAATCTTATTTTTTTTTTTCCAGTTCATCCTTAAGACAAAAAAAAAAAAAAAAAAAAAAAAAAAAAAAGGAAGAGCACAAGTTTGTACAAACCCAGGACACAGATTCCAAAAAGAATAATAATAATAATAATAACGACGACAAAAAAAAAAGAATTAAAGAGATAAATAAAGGACTGGTTACAGTTCAAGACCATAATTTAACAGGCACGGTTACCTTCCAAATAATGCTCTGACTAATGCAATCGCTTTTGAAAGGACTTAAAATAGAGGGGAGATCAAAAAACAAAACGAGGAAAATTGTGATTAAAAACTGCTCTTCTCCCAAAATAAATAATTTAAAGTATCTGTGATGTCCTGCAAGCAGAGAGGAGCCCCTGGACAGGCTGGGGTGGCTGGGAGTGCCCGGAGGGGGTCGAGCTCAGCCCCCCCAGCCCAGGGCCAGGCAGAGCTGGGGCCCAAGTGATTCTCCCAGGGCTGCTTTAAGGCTTTTCCCCAGCGCCTTGGGCTGGGGCCGAGTTGATTTTCAGGTTTTTTTTAAATCTTTTTGTTTGTTTGTTTTTCTCTCTTTAAGGCTCAAGGTTATTTAAAAAATAAAGTGAGAAACTCTCTTCTCCTGGCTGGTTTTGCTACGAGTTAGAAAAATAAAGCCTCTCCCATGCTGGTCCCTGCACAGTCTGAGCGCTGCCCAGCGCTGCTGCCCACGTACAGAGCTTGGTTCCCAGGTCAAAGCACGCTGGTTTTAGTTTTATTTTTAGAGACCAAAAAAAAAAAAAGACACTTATCTATACAAAAATACCTCTGACTGCAAGAAAGCCTAGCGCTGCTCCACTAAGTGTCGTTTTTTTTTTATTATTTTTTAAGCCGTTGGAAAAATAAGAGCGTTTTAAAAAAAAAATCTCTAAAAAATACGTAAAAATCCCCTCGAATTGGTAACGAATCATACACAGTACATACTAAAAATATTTAAAATAGAGAATATTCCTCACAGAGGACTCTGAGTTTTCTCTTTTTTTTACCCCCCTTTTTTTTTCTTTTTTGTTTTTTTTCCTTTAATTACTGCTAAAAAAAAAAAATCATTACAAAAGTCCAGAGAACAAGACAGCTGGGCGGGTTGGGTAGGAATCTCCTCTCCATGCTGGAAGCAGAGTTCAAGTCCAGTCCTTGGCAAGTGTGTACTGAGTTTTGCTGGCTCTCAAGCGGGTCCTGGAGGATGCTGTAGTGCAGAAGGCTCGAGGCGCTCTCTCCTCCCCGCCAGCTTTCGCTTGAGAGTCTCTTTTTAATTATTATTTCAAATTCAAAGAAGGAGAAAAAAAAAGTCTGAAGGAAGCTCTTCTTGCTGCTTTCGCGCTTTTCTGATTTTTTTTTTGTTTGTTTGTTTCGTTTGTTGTTTATTTTTTTAAATTTCTTTTTCTTCTCTTCTGCTTTTCCCCGCGGCTTCAGGGCCTGGTGAGCTGCGTGTAGACGGGCTGTTCCCAGTGCTGCGGGCTGTGGGTCTGGGGGATGGAGGGGACCCCCGAAGTGTCTGCAATGGGGGTGTACATGGGGCGCTGCGTGGGGTTCATGTAGGTGAAGGTGGAGTAGAGGCCGCTGCCCTGCCCCGCGGCGTGGCTGTAGTAGGAGCCGGAGGAGTTCTGGTGCTCGGCGTAGTCGTACTGGGAGCGGGTGATGGTGGGGTAGGACGAGCTGTAGTGCTGCAGGTTGAAGGAGCCGTAGTTGATCTGCTGCGGGGAGTGCTGCTGCTGCTCGCTGTAGTGGCTGGGGCTCAGCTGCTCCGTCTTGATGTGCGTCCTCTGCTGCTGCTGCTGTGCCGGGCCCTGCTCCCCGCTCAGCGCCGGCAGCCCCGCGTGCTGCGCCGGGGGCTGCGGCTGCGCCGGGGGCTGCGCCGGGGGCTGCTTGGACATCCACACGTGGCCGGCGCCGCCCGGGGAGCCCGACGTGCTGCTGATGCCGTAGCTGCCCGTGTAGGTGACCTGGCCGGGCTGGCCGTGCGCGGCCGGAGCCCCCGGGTGCCCGTTGGGAGGCAGGTACTGGTCGAACTCGTTGACGTCGAAGGTCTCGATGTTGGAGATGACGTCGCTGCTCAGCTCCCCGATGTCCACGTCTCGGAAGTCGATGTGGGGGGGCTGCCGGCCGCCCTCTTGCAAGGGGCGGCCCTCCCGCTTCAGGTCCTGCTTGCCGGGCTGAGCGTCCGTCTTGGGGGTGGTGGGGGGCGTGGGGGGGCCCTGCGACTGCCCTGTGGGAGGAAGGAAGGGGGACAGGGGTGAGGGGGGTGTCGCTGTGATGACTCGGTTAATGGTTAACCCACCCCCGGGGGGCAGGGGAACGGGGGCTGAGGTTGTGTGGGGTGACACTTCCAGGTGTGAGGGGCACAGACCTGAGCCCTGTCGGCACCAACCTACTGCGCTGGGTGAAATAACTGAGCCCTCAGACATGAGCTGTAACGTGGGCCAAGTTTTTAGGGTGCTTTTTATTTATTTATTTATTTATTTTAAAGCGTAACTTTAAGTTTCTCACGTGCACGGGGTGAGGGGGGTTGTGGAAGTGGCTGCAGTGGCACGTGCCCGTGCCACGGGCAAAGCTCGTGGGCAGCTCTGCCCCCTCTCCTGATGTGGCTGCCCCCCCTTGTCACTGCATTTCTGGGTCTCCTTTTCCCTCCCTTGCCCAATCCCAGCCGGTTCGGGCTGCAACTTTTGATTGGGCTGCAACTTTTGATTGGGCTGCAACTTTTGATTGGGCTGCAACTTTTGACTGGGCTGCAACTTTTGACTGGGCTGCAACTTTTGA